CTTGATTCCCCATGAGTAACAGAACCACAGAAGAGGGACTAGTCACACAGATAAGAAACTGCTTTATTCTGTACCATTCCAAAATGAGATCAGACATCTAATACGAGTGCCAAAAAGGTGGGGAAGGACGGGGGTGGGCATAGTGATTCATTCCAGACTTCATTAAGTCAAGTGGGTCTGTAAAACACTTAGAGATCACTTCTAAAAGAGTAACAGTAAAGGACAAAAAAGGAAATAAATTCAAGTAAACAAAGAAAAATAAGGCAACCCAAAATCAGATGATGGAATACAGCCACATATATCAGCAATCATATGAAATAAATGGCCTAAATTCACCAGTTAAAAGACAGAATTCTCAAATGGGATTAAAAAACATGTCTCCTCAAAGATAGAAGGACACAATGTTTGAAAGCAAGGAAATAGAAGAAGATAGTCCAGACAAATCCTAACCAAAATAAAGCCAGTATAGTAATATTAATATCAAGTAAATAAATTTTTAGTATATGATGGTTAAAGGGGGGGGGGGAATCCAAGAATACATAATTCTGCATACATTGGCATCTAATAACCTAGACTCAAATTTTATAAAGCATAAATTTACAGAAATACAAAGAGAAGTTATCAACAATTACAGGGAGAGATTTCAACAATTGCTCTATTAGTTGACAAACTAAGCAGTTAATTAATAATAGACAACCCACATAATTAAGAAGTCTGATCAAGAGGACAGATCTGGAAACCCGTGCCAAAAATAACAACATAACATGCTTTTCCAAACTCAAAAAGAACCTTTACAAAAAGCGACTATATACTAGCCTGCAAAGTAAGTCTTAACGAATACAACAGAATCTCTTATTTAGACCACATTCTGACCACAATTTAACAGGAAACCTGAACAAAAGAAAAAGCTGTCTTCCCACAAGACACGCACATATATATTCAAAAAACACATACACACTTTGGACATTTAAAAGCACATTTATAAAAATCACTGGTCAAAAATGACCCATAATGGGAAGAGAAAATATTAAGAACTGCATGCAATGGAAAGCACTATGTTCAAAACTTGTGCACTCAACAAGAGGTACTTGAAGGAAAAACTAGAGCCATGAAAGCATACACACATACATACATATATCTATATACACGTATACCTCTATACACACATACACTTATATAGAGATATATCTCTATAACTATATATATCTCTATGTATCTCCATATCTACATATATACACATATTTTAATATTCAACTCAGGCAACTGGAAAAAGAACAGAGTAATCCAAAGAAAAAATAAAGAGCAAAAAGGAACCAAATATTACAAAACAGAAAAGGAACGATAAATAAATCCAACTTGCTTCTTTGAAAAAAAAAAAATAACTCTATAGCAAGAATGCTCAAGGGAAAAAAAGGCAAATAACACTAGAAATGAAAAAGAGATCAAAATCAAATGCACAAGATGAGAACACTACACGAAACTTCATGCCAAAAGATTTGTCAAATTAGAAGAAATGGACAGTTTCCACTAAAAATATGAATTACTAAATCTGGCTCAAGAAAAAATAGAAACAGACTGTAAGTATAAGTAAATTGAATCAATGATTAAAAAAATAAAATAAAAAACTCATCTCCAACCCTACTCTTTCCACGAAAAGGCCACCAGGCCAAGCCAGTCTTGAAAGCAAGTTCTACCAGAACTCCAAAACTAGTTAATCCCTAATTTATCCAAACTTTCCAGAGAATATTAAGAGGGAGGCAACTTTACAAGGCTAGTATACAACTCAGATAACCAAATCTGACAAAGACAAGTCGACAGAAGAAAAGTAAAGGTAATACATGCAAAAATCCCAGATTAAAAAGTACAAAATGAATGCCAGAGAGGAATTCAAAGACAGCTTAACATTAGAAAACATTAATGTAAATGACAATATTAGTATATTGAAAAGCGTATGATTCTCTCAGTTGATACAGAAAATACATTTGATAAAATTCACCACCTATTCATGTCCTTCTCTGCCAACCATGAAACTTTACTGCTTTCAGTCTTATAACAGGGAAAAAAATACGCTTAATCTGAAACAGGATATTTATTTTTAAAAATCCTAGAGCAACCCTAGAAACCTAAATAAAACCTATAAAAAGATGCTCAGCCTCATGAGCTATAAATTGTAGTACCGTCTCCATGTTTTCCCTTACTTACCACCCTCTTCCTATAAGAAGATCATACCTGCCCACCTACCGTCATCAGCTTTAACCACGTGACTTGCTTGGCATTGCAATGAGATATAAGTAAGAGTGACATACACAACTTGCAAGCAGAAGATTCAAGAGCACAGTGGGTTCTGCCACATTTTCTTTTCCCTCTACCATGAGACCAGCATGTTCCAGGTAGAGGCTGCATCTCCAGTCTTGGCCCAAAAATAAGGAGACATGAAGCAGAGCCACAGGGAAGCCACAAAGGGCATTTAACATGAGCAAGGAATAAACCACTATTAGAAGTCCAGAAGATTGGGAGGTTTTTGGTTACTAGGCATAACCTAGTGAAAGTTGACAGAGATCAAATGAATGCAAATTAAAATATTAAGACAGTATTTCACACCCATATGATTGCTCAAAATTACTAATAAGAGGAAGTGCTGACAACAAGGTGAAAAGATTAAACTCAGTGGTTGTGGCTGGAATATAAATTGGCACCATCACCTTGGAGTTCACTTTGGCAGTATTGGGGAGAACTGAGGAAGTAAAACTGCAACCTAGCAATTCCACTAGTTGTCTACCTTGAAGAAACTGGCACAAGTGAACAGGGAAATGTGCACAATCACGTTCACCAGAGCACTGACTGTTATACTATACAAAGAAATCGTGCTTCCATAGGGGAATGGATGAACTGGTTTTGTCATTCAAAAGAATACTATACAGCAGTGAAAATGAACAAGGTAGATTTTGACATCATAAAAAGATACATGCAGAGCAAGAGAGGAGAGATGGGAATGAGACTTCAGCAATGTCTTCAATGTTGCATTTCTTTTAAAAAAATGATGCAAGAGGCTGGCCCCGTGGCCGAGTGGTTAAGTTCACGCACTCTGCTGCAGGCGGGCCCAGTGCTTTGTTGGTTCGAATCCTGGTCGCAGACATGGCACTGCTCATCAAACCACGCTGAGGCAGCGTCCCACATGCCACAACTAGAAGGACCCACAACAAAGAATATACAACTGTGTACTGGAAGGCTTTTAGGGGAAAAAGGAAAAATTAAAAAAAAAAAAATCTTTGAAAAAAAATGATGTAAAACACATGGCAAAATGGTAACATCTGATTAAAATTTTTATGGTGAATACACAATTGTCTCTTCTATTATTTTCTATATTTTTGTAGTTTTTAAATATATCATGACTTTTTTAAAAAAGAGAACAAAAATATATTTAAACCATAAAGCCCATGGGTCAATCTTGAGGTTTGGTGGCAAAAAGAACTTCAGAGACGAAAGAGGCCTTCTAGAATATCTAAGTAGTCCTATATTCTACAGAGGAAGTCAGTTTCTGGGCCCAGAATGGTTGAGTAAATGACTCGAGTCACATAAGTTATCATCATGTTGGTTCTCAAAATCTACTCCTCCACTTCTAGGACAGGTAGGAAAACAAGGGACATGTGGTCAAATACAATGTCACTGAGTCAAGTTCCAAACACCATTCTACTGTTTTCCTTACTGTCCCCAACTCCATCCCCAAGACACACAGTAACAGTCCCCACCCCCAAAAGCTTTAAGGATTTTTAATCCTCTTTTCCTACTCCTTTTCTTGAAATAACTAAAATATCAGAACGATTACTACTAAAACAAGTAAAATACAGTTCTGGATAATACAAAGATAGCGGCGAGGACCACACATCATTCCTCTTAGAAGCCATGCCTCGCATTATAATACACATTCAAATATATAACAAACTATTGTTCAACTAGATAGACATACGATGTCTATCTTACCAAGCTGAATACTTCCATTGTTGTTAAAGTATAACTTCTATTTTTAATAAGCAGGAATGCAAGGAATTAGGAAAAAATGGTTTTAATATTTAATAGATTAGAAGACCAAAGAAAAGACTGTTATTTAGAGACCATATTTTAAATGAGTAAGATAGGTCCCATGCGCAGCAGACAAACAGGGTAGATCAGTGGTCACATTCATGACCTCAGAGTCACGCTAAAGAGTTGGAATTCTGCCCAACCACTAACTAGCTGTGAAACTTTGGGCAAGTTACTTCACCTCTCCACGCCTTCCATTCCCCACCATAACACGGGGATACCCACAACACGGCTGACCTCACACAGATTCTTCTAAGAATCACATGAGAGAATCCATTCAGAGCTCTTCACACAGCTCTTCCGGAAACGCTAGCCATCAGTATACGTCATATAAACTGAGCAATTTAACTATGAAAAGCAACAAACTCCTTTGATTGCCATAAAATTATAAGGTGCTAGATGCTTTAAGAAAAAAATTACATTGGCTTCAGTCAGCATTGGTGCTAATGAATTCTCGGCTTTGCAAATCACGAGTGTTTTTTAATTAAATGAAACTAAATAAATGAGCCAGATTTTAAATCATTATCTGTCTCAGGATAAGAACACTTGGGGTTAAACTGCTGCAATTTCATTACTCTGAAATGTCAGCCTCGTGCTGTCATTTCTCCTCAGGCAGAACACCTGACAGACGAGGTCACACTCGCTATGTAATGCCCATTCGGAACAGATTCCCGCCAATACATGTGACCAGTGCAGGCGGGCAGGGCATCCGTCTGCCCACCCCCCAAGGGTCAGGAAGTACTGTTTGCCATGAAACTGCTGATCCTTTCTATGTTTTCTTGTTTTTTAATGCAAAATTGACAAACTAGCTTATAGGAACACAAAAATACATTCTCTGTGCCAGGCCCCAAAGGGGGCAGTGGGGACTTGCCCTCTCCTTCCACACACAGGCCAGCTCACGGCTCCGCTCCCCGCCTCACCTCCAGGTCACAGCTGTACTCGCTGCCATCGAGTAGGGTCACCTTACACGGCACAGTTTTGGTCTTCTTGGGGGCTTTCTGAGAGGCCTTCTCTGCTTTCAGCTCGTTGGTCTGCACTTCCTTTGTCTCCCTTCTGGCGGCTTCTTCTGATTTGTCGTCCTGCACTTCCTTCACCTTCTCTTCTCTCTCCTTACTCACTTCTTCAGCAGGCTGTTGACGAAAGACCTGAAGTTCACACTCAGGTAAAAGGAAGATGTTTGGGGAGAACTGTGATTGTTATAAACGCCGCAAGCCTAAGATTTCAAAAGACTTCAACATTTCAAAAGGCTATTTCCCCACATCTTCCTTCTCCAAACCCACTGCCCATTTCTCATTTTGCCAGTTTGGTAATTTCAGCATTAAATGAGTAAAAGAAACTACATCCCAGAGACTATAATTTAAATATCATTTCAAATAATAAAATTCCCAATTCTAGGGTCCAGCCCAGTGACATGATGGCTAAGTTTGCACCTTCTGCTTCAGTAGCCCAGGGTTTGCCAGTTCAGATCACAGGCATGGACCTATACACCACTCATCCGTACATGCTGTGGTGGCATCTCACACACAAAAGAGAGCAAGATTGGCACAGATGTTAGCTCAGTGACTATCTTCCTCAAGCAAAAGTAGGAAGATTGGCAACAGATATTCGCTCAGGGCCAATCTTCCTCAGAAAAAAAAAAGAAAAGAATTCCAATTCTAATCTCATACCATGCAAAACCCAGGCTTCGTTAGGCGACCAAATGCACACACATACAGATCTACTGCTTCCTACTCACTGAACACTGAAATAAGCCACATCAAAGAGAGAGAATAATGCATACTATTTAAAAGGAGAGGTGGGAGGATCATGAGAGTATGTGTTTAACCTTAAAAAGAATGCAGAGAAATTTTTTTATGGTTTGCATATATAGTGCGGTGTTTTTTTTTGCTTTGCTTTATTATTCTGGAACGTTTTAAATGGACTAACAGGAGAAGGCCGTGGTAGACCACGCCAAGACCCATATTCCAGATACAGTAAGCCAAAGAAGGATCTTAATACAAGAAGTCTGGGAATGATTCAAAACCAACAAATCCTTTTTATGACGTGGATATGCCATCGAGCTTTCAGGTCCAGAAGGTCACTTTGCAAACATACCTGTGTCTCAGGGCCACGCACGGCTGGTTTCTCTTCCTTGACGTCCACTTTCGTCTCCTGCTGTTTCCTCTGAGCTGCTACTTCTGCGCTGCCCTTGGCCTGCCTTTCTTCTTCGGGAAAAGGTTCCTCTTTATCTAAAATCTGCTCTTCCACAACAGCTTGGGTAGGCTCTTTTTTCTCTCCTCCATCTTTGGCCACGATTAAGTTATAGGACTTCTGTTTCTTAAGCCACGGGGGAAGGAACCGAGAAATGCCCCTGCTGTCGGACGGCTCCTTCTCCCTCTTCTGGCGGCGCGGGCTACTTTGGCTTTCAGCTGTAGGAGACGTCTGGGGACCTTTCTCCTCCTCTGCATCCGAGGGCTGAGGCTGCTGATTTTCTGCGGCTTCTTTAGGTTTCTCCTGGGCTGCATCTGCTCCTAACTGGTCAGGCTCCTTCTTCACTTCAGACGCAGAGCCCACTTCAGTAGTCATGGTCACAGCTTACTGTCAACAAAACAAAGTCACAAACTGTGATTTCACAGACTCTCCCCGTTTTAGCCTGGAGGCAAGGACCAGGGTAAGCTGGGTGGGAAGGGGACGGGCCGAGAGAAGATGGGGAGAAAACACGCAGAGAAAGAGCGTTCACAAGCACAAGAGAAACGGGGATTCCTACTTTAACTCCTGGAATACTCTATCAGAATCCAAGAGCCAAAACTGGCATCACAGTGGAATTAACTCCGATTCCGTAGAGACAGGATGTAGAAAGAGTGATTACTTTTATTTGGTTTCATCTAGCTATAGACTATAATGCACCAAAAAGATCTAATATTCTTCAGGAAAATGACTTTTCTCTATACCTTATATCCCTTATCCTATAATACAAAAATGTTACTGATAATGTTAGACAGTAGTGAGACATACTTCACCACAATTTCACACATTAAAATCAAAATCTACAAAAATGTTAAGTATTATAAAAATGAATTTTAAATGCTGGGTGCTTAATAGCAAGAAAATTAAATCTGGAACAAAAATGCATTCATTTTTGTTTTTATATTAAATCCCGTAATCCACCATCACTATTCCAACGCAAAAGTTAAGACTTCTGGGAAAGGTACTAAAACTATAATCAAAGCTCGAAACCTCCATGCCACCCAAACTCACACAGAGTTTTCTACAATGTGTATGTGATTATAAGAAAAGCATCCAGGGGTCTCGAAGCTGAACCAAATGAAAACACTACAGGGGTGGAAAAATAAGCATCTAATAATTGATCCTATCAAAACTAATGAAAACAAAATTGAAATGAAATCTCAAAGTGACTGTTGTCTAAATTTTACTCAAGCAAGTACAGCAGCACCACTGACGTGAAAACAAGGGGCAGGGTCAGCAGAGAGCCACCCTGCCCTGTCTTGCCGAGGATGAACGTACTTGCGGGCCTGGCACCCTGGCCAAGGGCAGACTGCCCAGCTACCTTCAAAAGTGGCATAAGTTCAAAAATAAAATACACTTGGTTTCCTTTCTTTAGAGCTTTATTGAGATATAATTCACATCAGATTCACCCTTTTAAACTGTACAGTTAATGGTTTTTTAGTATATTCATAAGGTTGTGCAGCCATCACCACTATCTAATTCTAGAACATTTGCGTCATCCCAGAAACAAACTCTGTACCATTAAGAGTTGCTCTCCATTCTCCTATCCTCCCAGCTCCTGGCAGCCGCTTATCTACTTTCAGTCTGTAGGGACTTGCCTATTCCGGACATCTCAAATAAACAGAATCGTAAAAGTGGCATTTTCACTTAGCATAATGTTTTCAAAGTTCATCCGTATTGTAGTATGTATCAGTACTATACTTGTTTCTTAAAATAATATTCACCATCTTTTGCAAATCACATATCTGATGACTCTGGTATCCAGAATGTATAAAGAACTCTTACAACTCAACAATAAAGATAAATTTTTTTTAGTGGGCAAAGAATTTGAGTAGACATTTCTCCAAAGAAGATACATATATGCCCAATGAGCACTTGAAACTATGCTAACATCATTAGTCACTAGAGAAATGCAAATCAAAACCACTATGAGATACCACTTCACATCCACTAGCATGTGGCTATCATCAGAGAGAGAGAGAGTAAAAAAAGCATTGGTGAGGATGCGGAAAACTGGCAACTCTCAACATTGTTGGTGAGAACACAAAATGGCGCAGCCACTTTGGAAAACAGTTTGGCAGTTCCTCAAAAAGTTAACATAAGTTACCATAATATAACCCAGCAACTCCACTCCTGGGTAAAACCCCAAGAGTAATGAAAACTTACGTTCACCCAGAGACTTGTAAATGAATGTTTATAACAGCATTATTCCTAATAGGCAAAAAACAGAAACGACCCAGATGCCCACCAACGGATGAATGGGTAAACAAAATGTGATACGTCCATACAATAGAATATTAAGTCACGAAAAGGAACGAAGTACTGACATATGCTGCCGCGTAAGAACCTTGAAAACACAACGCTAAGTCAAAGAAGTCAGTCATAAAAGGCCACAGGCTATGTGATTTCATTTACACGAAACTTCCTGAATAGGCAAATCCACAGACAGGAAGTAGATTAGTGGTTGCAAAGGGGTGGAAGGAGGGGAGGGAGCAACTGCTAACGGGTACAGGGTTTCTTTTTGGGGTGATGAAAGTGTTCTGGAATTAGACCATGGTGATGGTAGCACAACCTTGTGAATACACTCAAAACCACTGGATTGCAAACTTTAAAAGAGTGATATCTCAATAATAAAAAATAATTTTACAATTGTTGTACACTTCTAATAAGCAAGCATAATAAACATTGACTCAGCCAGCCAGCCTATATTTAATGGGCCCATACAACGTGCCCAGTCCTGGGCACATGAATAAAGACTGCCTTCAAGGAGCTGAGGGAGGCACAGATAAATCAAGAGCATTTTGCTTACAAAGCAGAGGACAGACATTTAACCCAGATTAAGAGAAGAGGGTCATGAGGCACGCCTTTCTGCAGAAGTTGGCATTTGAGTTGCTTTAAAATGATGAGTATTCATTATTCAGGCAAGGGAGTCAGGATGAGAGGCATGTGCCAGGCATGGGGCAGTGTGTGGAAACATAAGAATATTCCTCCTGTAGGAAATGTAGAAGTGAAGCGGGGGCGTGTGAGTGGGGACAGGAGGAAAAGAGGATGGTGAATTGATAATGATGAAGAAGGAGAAGGCAGAAGCCAGAACATAAAAGGTCCTGTGTGCCATGCTAAGAAAGGTCTGGAGGTTGATTTAAAGGCAATGAGAAGGCATCCAAGCACTGCAGGTAGACGGGTAATGTAATCAGACTCACATTTCAGATGGCCCAACCTGGCTGCAAAGTACAGGATGAGAGAAAAGATGGAAATAAAGAGACATCCAGGAGGCTGCTGCAATAACCCAGGCATGAGAACATGATGGTCTAAACACAGCAGAAGCCACGAGGTGGACGATAAGATGTGAATCTAATACTAAGAGGAAGACTGGCCATGGCGTGGTGTCTACACTGAATACAGCAAGTCAAAGAAAGGAAAGACTCAAGGAAAAGTCCCAAGTCATGGGAGAATGGATGGGATGATGGTGGAGCCACCCACTGAAATGGGGAACAGGAGGAAAAGAAGGTTTGGCGAAGACAAACTTCATTTTGAATTCACTGAAGTTGAGAAGTTTGTGGAGGTGTCTAGTTGGCCACTTGCCACACATGTGTTGCACGGAGGCTGGACATGCACCAGAGATGAAGATTTGGGAGTTGTCGTCTTATGGATGATAGCTAAAAGCACAGGAGATGCTGACATCACCTAGAGAAAGAGTGTCGTCTGAGAGTAGAGGGTCCTGAAAAGAACCCTTCTCACCACCAACATGTAAGGGTCAGGAGGAGGGAAAGGCATGAGGACGGGAAGCGTACATCGAGGGACAGGGAGATTGGGGAAGAGGAGCGTCCTTGAGGGCAATGCCACAACAGGGGCTAGTTAGGCAATTATAAGATTTACTGGTCCAATCTTACTGCTCATTCTTAGGCATTTAAAGTTATGTCTTCCAGTAAGACCCTTACACAAGTACTTGAACTGGCTCCATACTGCACAGAAAATCTGTTTTTCTTCTTTAAGGTACCATTTTCCACGTACCACTTAAGTGGAGAATATTATTTATATTAATCATGAAATGACCAAAGTTGACTTTTAGCATACACTCTCTCATTACATTTTGAGAGCTCAATCAATGTCCTGGTAAAAATTAAAACAAAAATGCCTCACATAACCAAGATAACTGGCAGCTCTCTGATTACTTTGGCTGTGAGAAATATCTAGAGACCAATCAACTAAAGCTGACTTTTTGTCAAAATATTTTAGAAGCAATGAAATATAAAACTAGAGTTTCCACTATTGTGTTAAAGTATTAATATTTGTATTTTAATCATAAGAGCTGTCACTCAGTGCTTACTGTGTCAGATATCGTGCACATTATTTCTGCTCCTCAAAACATCCTACAGGGTAGATATTACCCCATTTTGCACACCTGTTCTCACCTGTATTTCATAAGCAGTCACAACTCCACTGTGTATGAATGATCGAATCAACCAGAGCCATTGGCTTGGTCCTCAAAGAAGATACATGCTAGCTTGTAAAAATGACTACAGAACAACATGAATCAATTCTGTGATTTAGTGTAATTAGCCGGCCCCTCCCCTAAATACGAAATTTACAGATGAGGCCTCATCACATAGAAAATCATATTTGAAAGTTATTACTTGGTCATGTGATCACCACTGAGCTTTGGACAGAAACTAAAGACCAGGTGCTAATGCAGAGATAAATCTTACCAGGGAGCCTCACAAAGTGGTCAATCACTACCGTACCCACAACACATGGAAGTTTTAAGAACCCCAGAGCTGATCAGTGTTGCCCACGGAATTAGCCAATGGAAATGGCTAATTGGATTATAAATACTAAACAATAAGGGTGGATATAAGTAAATAAGTACATTCTTAAAATAGTTTCAAGAGATCAACAAAGCTCAAACATAAACACTACCTTCTTTGTTGATAAAATGGTTTCCTGAACAAATTACCACCATCAAGAAAACACGATTATAGCACATTCATTCACCATAATGATCATGCCTGTAACTCTCAGTTTCAAATGTGGATAAGCCTCTAAATTCCACAGCCTACTGAAACGGAAACTCCTGCGGTGGAGCGCCAGCCCTCCCACTAAAATGAAGGCCCCATGAGGGCTGCCATCTTTCTTTGCTTCACTGCTATGTTCCCAGCACCTAAGAAGCACAGAAATATTTACTGAATGAGTGTTGTGAAATCATCTAGTCTAATAGGCTCAATTTTATCTTATCAACAAGGAAACTGAGGGTCAGAAAGAATAGGGGTTTTGCCTGAGATCACAAAGCTAGATAGGTGAGGCCAAAACCAGAACTACTGCTTCCCAAACTCTAGCACTGCTCATTCCACTAA